AACCCACAACCTTGGCTTATAGGGACAATGCTTTAATCAACTGAGCTACCCAGCCAGGGCTATTTTTCTTCTTAAACTTCTCAGAATAGAATGACTTTTCAACACCTATCTGAAGAGTTCCCGTCTTATCTTCTAACAAAAAAATTAATTAACCTTCTTACTTTCATAGCCAGAGTGAATTTTTCATAACTAAATACTATTACAGGATGATGTGAAACAAATGTGGATTTGGGAGTGGTGACACCAGAGTAATTTTGAGTAACACTAGTGCTATTCATTTTGGCTTTCAGGCATCAACACTTACAAGAGGATGTGACCCACTCTGTTTACATGGATAACAACTAAGGACAGTGTGGTCAGGGAGTATTAAGAGCAACATTAATGGGCAAAGAGCATAATTGTTTATCACAGCTCCTCCTGTTAAGGTCATCCAGGAATGACGATTTAATAAATAGTTGTGTCTTTATATTAAAAACTTGATAGCAATGTCAACATCACTTAAGCTACATTTCACAGAATGTATGTTCTGCAACATATTACTAAATATTTAGTGAAATAAAAAAACACACAAAACACACACACACAATGTTTCATATTTTAAGTTGAGAAATGCTGCTTTAAAGAGGGATAAATCATGTTTTTTGTGTGTGTGTTCTTTTTTAAAAAATTGCAGGACTTCCTAAAACCTTTAATAAACTCATGTGCACTGTGAATTCCTATCATGTGATTTCAGGACAGAGCATTTCCAGGTTTATCGGACTAGCGACTCTTTCTTTAGAAAGCACTAATTCACATTTTCTGCAGTAATGGTGAGCACTCGTACTTGGGAAATCCCACATCTGTGGCCTCAGCAATGGTGTGTGTGTGTGTGTGGTGTGGTGTGTGACTGGTATCAACTGGCACAACCTTTGGTGTGTTTGTTTTCTATTGCTACTAAAACAAATTGCCACAAACTTAGTGTCTTAAAACAACACAAATATATTACCTATAGTTCCCATATGTTAGAAGTCTAACCTGGGTCTCACTGGGCTGAAATCAAGATATTGACAGGCTGCAATCCCTCTGGAGGCTCTATGGAGAATCTATCCCTTGCCTTTCCCAGTTTTGGAGGCTCCTGCATTCCTTGGTTCATTGCCCACTTTCTCCATCTTCAAAGCCAGCAACATCGCATCTCTCTGATCATTCTACTGTACTACCTCCTGCTGACCACGGACAAGGAAAGTTCCCAGCTTTTAAAGATCCATGTTAAAGATCCATGTGATTAGATTAGGCACACTTGGCTAATCTCCCCATCTCAATGTCAGCAAAGTCCCCTTTTTGCCATGTAAGGTAGCATGTTCACAGATTCCAGGGTTAGGGTTTGGACACCTTTGGGAACCATTATTCTGTCTACTGCCACTTGGGTCGATAATCATACCTTCAGAATTTTGGCCAGCAAGGTCAACGAATAAGAAAGGGAGCAACTATTCCTACTGCTTGCTGGATTTCCCCCAACTATCACTTATAACTTCACAGTATCAGGAAAATCAAAATTATCATCTCATTAAGGGATGTAGAACAGTGAACAAAATATGGAACATGTTCCCAAGCACCAAGAACTTGGTTTGGTCTCCACAATGCAGAGAAGAGTGTACAAGTGCTCTGGGAATTCGATTCTCCACAAACAGCCAGCTGGCTGACCAACATCATGGGCCTGATTCTATAAGTTGTGCATTTTCCAGTAAGAGGTACTTAAATAACCCCAGTTGGCTTTACTGAAGCTTTCATTACTAAGGTAGTGTGCATTCATGTCCTTCTATGATGTATGTACTATGTTGTCCCACTTTGTGAGTGAGAAATTAATACACTCTATGGTTGTTACTTGACAAGATCTTACTTTCACCAAACCAGTAAAAAATACATCTGATTCCAAAGCCTGAGGTCTTAATCTTACGCAATACTGTGTCTATTCACTTTTATAACCCATCTCTCCTACAGGTCCTCCCCCTTCTATCCCAACCCAAGGGCTTCCTTATATGGTTCCAGGGGTGGGAGTAGATACAGTTATACTCATGCACACGCTCAGTGACACTCTGTCATTTGTATCTTTATGAAGCTTTATGCCTTGATTATATGCCTTTCTGTTTTGATCTATGATAAGGTATGGAGACTGCTGGGCCACTAGCAGGATATGTCATGAGTACATGGCTTAGAGTCGCATCTAGTTTTAAAATGTGGCTAGGTCGTCACCTGCGAAGTAATTTAGCATGTTATGTGAGCATCATAAACTTCAGTTTCCTCCTCTTATGAGAGATCGGCAATAATATCTGCTTCAGAGGGTCATTGTAAGGATTCAAAGAATGATATATGCAAAGCACCTGATAGATAATAATAATGTGTTATTATTATATAATGCAACAAACTGAAGTTGATACTATTACCATCAATTCCTTGCTGTGTTTACCTACATAAGAGTGCTATGCAAAGTTCTTGTCTCTATGGAAGGTGCGTATTGAAAACCTCTACTTAAATCAGTGACATTTGTACAGCCAACAATCCTAGTTTCATTCTCATCCTATTGTTAAGGTGTGGTTCAGGCTACTCAAAACAAATTTCTTCTAAAGGGCCATGACTGCGGGGAGAACCGGGGCCGGAGACTTCTTGAAATTTGCTAATCACATCTGGTTTAGCTTTAGACATTTTCTGGGGTTTTGCCAGCAGCCACGACATTTTAATGGCTACAATAAACCTCAAAGCCTCATCAAATCTTTGCTGTATGTGTGAAAATTATGTCCTCTTCAATTAAACATTCAATCTAGGCTCACACCAAGGCCTTATGGAAAAGGCGGTGAAACCTGAATGGGGACGGGAGATGAAACGGACCGCCACGACTCTGGCCATCTTGCCAGATGGTATTTGGAAGAAAAAGAAATTCATTAGAGAACCAACGGTCTGTATTTTCTTTAAATATTTACTAGGTACCTTTCATGTGTTAAAAACACTGGCATCCCTAAAGATTAGCAGGGATTTTTTTGTTTAAATATTCAATGTGTGTGTGGGGGGGGAGTCCCAGTTTCCTCAACCGCCTTTATGGTACTTCCTTGGTGAAGTCCAATACAAAGAAGAAAAATAACTGTGATGATCAGTTTTCCTTCCTAGGGCAGTCCCTCCAGCTGCAGAAGTTTGATATCTCCTTAAAATTGACTGAGAAAAGTGTCAGTTGAGTGCTGAGATCTGCAATGACAGCTAGGATTTCCCTAGAGAAAATAAGATACACCAAAGTGGGGAGCTTTGGGGGAACCCCTGCCTGTCCACTGTCTTCCTAATTCACTCTTCTCATCCCTTTTGTTATCATCTAACACACTGGAGCGTCCAAGGGAGGTGGCCGAGCCAGGATGCCCAAAAGAGGAAGTCCCTGGAAGGAAGGCCGGGGAAGAAGAAAGAACACACACAGATCAGGCTTCTGTTCAAAAGATAAGAGGAGCGAGCAGGCCCAGGGTGTTAAAGGGGCCATGAGCTGGGGGGATGGGCATTCAAAGGCAGCCAAGGAGTGAACAAACATGGGTCTTCGCTGCCACTGCTCACCTGCAGCCATCCTGGGGACTGGCCTGGGCCCTAATTCCACCCCTGGAGAGGGACAGAGGAAACTACTCCATGATGGCTTACTTGGCTTTACTCAAGTAAGAATCAAGCTCCTCATGTTATACAAGAACAAAACTGTCATTTTTATTTTGTTGTTGTTTTTTTTTTGTTTTGTTTTGTTTTTTAGGAAAGGGAATAGAATAACAAGTCCACATATCGCATTCCTGAACAAAGCATTCATTTGGTTGAATTCATGCTCTCAACCACATCAACAGGAGGGGGGAAATGTCCACATGTTCCTTTAAAAATAATTTACAAGGTAAAAATATTCACTTGTAACCACCGTCCTTATTTAAGCAAGTTTATGCCCAAAGTAAAAACAAATGGCTTTCCCTGACACTCCGAGCAGACCTTGCCCCTTCACTTCCAGTTCCAAGCTGTTCTCTGTCTAAGACTTGGGTTTCTGAGCACTCTTTCACAATAAACATTTTTTGAATGTTTATTTTATGTCTTAGTGTAAAAATATTCCTGGTTCAAGCTCTTCATTTCCTCAAGCTCGCCTTTTGGCACTCTGGGCTCCATTTCCACATTAACACGCTCCCTAAATCCTCCACAGAGCTCTTCAGTTGGAGCTACACAAGCTCCAGCGCAAGTATTTATATTCTTGGACAAGGAGATGTCTCCACAGTGAAAACACAAGACTCTCGAAATGCCAAAGGAAAATTCCTGCCCAAGAGAAGCATATTTTCACCTTTTAAAAAAGCCCAAAGGGCTTTCAGAATATTGTTTTGAATAATTAAAAAATGTAAAATAAACTAAAATAGAATGTCTTGCCATCCTTATTAGACTCATATATATAAACCAAATATATAGGAACACGGGTGTGCGTGTGCGTGTGTGTGTGTGTGTATGACAAGAAGAGGGAGCGGGTGTGGGAGCAGGGATGGAAGAGAGAAGGCAGCATAGTAAACTTGTATAGAAAATGCATGAGTTTTAATCAGATAGAATTCAGTAAATCTGTTTTGCATCGCCTGCGTGAACATAACTTCTCTAAGCCTCATTTTTCTTATCTGTAAAAAGAAAGTTAGTATAGTTCCTGCTTTTAGGTTTGTTATAAGAATTATATGAGACCGCAGTAAGCATCCAGTAAAGGGTTTAGGCTGTTAATATTATTATTATTAAAATTATATCTATTATATGTTGGGAAATGTAGATAAAACAAGATGTAGATATAACAAGTACTAACACAGTAAGAGAGAGAGACATATGTAAGTCCAGTGCCTCCAAAAAGTGCCTAGTGATGGAACGCTTTGTGAGAGCTGTAGCATACCACAGTTGAACTCTGCACCCATTCCATTCAATGAGCCACACACAAGTAATCCTCTTAAATCATTTTTTAAAACTCTTAGCTATTATCATAACGGAATAGTTCCTGTTACCTTCCAGTTGCCTCTTCAGTTTTCTCAAGTCTTTGATGAGGTCTTCAAACTTGACTTGGGAAGCCAGAAAGAAATCTTGTGGTTCAGGCAGGGGGAAAATGCTCTTTTCTGTTCCTGCTTCCTAAAAGATAGATAGAGTGGAGAAAAGCACATTATACTTCCCAGCTGTCACTTTCAGTTGAAATTCCAAAGCATTTCTTATTGAATGTCTGAATAAACATTGCAGCGACACTTCTCCGGGGGTCCTCAGTTTGGACTGGTTACTTTGAAATGCTTTGGTGTGTTTCACAACATCTTTTTGCTCATTCCGGCATTTAGATTGGCTACGGCACGGGTGAGGTTCCATTGTGCCTCATGAAAGAAAGAGAAAATTGTCAGGTATGTCCTGATCTTGGGCACTCTATGTCCATGGAAAAGGGCATAGGAGGAACACATCAAAGTATTTAAATTAAAAGTCCCTGTTTGGGTTGCACATGGTAGCAATTAGAGAACTCAGCATTGAGGTATGTCAATGGGTGTGAATTGGAAGGTACTGAGTAAGGCAGCACTCCAATGGGAGAAACAATCACCCTGCCTTACGCCTTTACCTACCTTCCTCTGAACCTTAAAGCACGCATGCACACATGTGTGTGTGTTGGGGGGAGGATTGAATTCATATTTGTAAAAATTTTCCAAATGTTGTTTGGCTACTCTTACCACATATTTAACGTGGGCATGACTGGGTATAGTTTTTGACAAGCCCCACAACTATCCCTCAAAGAGCGCCTGAGCTGAGAAACTTCTTGAGGGACAAAACATTCATCGGGCACATTGAAAGATAAACTGAGCCTCAAATTTCTTTTCCAGTCTATCTGGCTTCTTCCTGGGTTGTTTAATGTAGCTTCATATCTTGCTCATCTCAGACAATCCTCAGGTCTCTCCACATAGGCCACTTTGCCAGCTTTCCTTCACATTCCATCTTTCCTACTGCTATTAGGACTGGTTCCAGACTCTAAAACTGCTTTACAAGGCACTTTATGATCTGGCCTCTGTCTACATCTCCAGCCTTATTTCTACCTTCTCCTTATTTCTAACTCCCTTCCTCAAACTTTCTTAAAATAATAGGTCAGGTCATGGTCTCTTGCCTCTAGGCTTTTGTACAACTTATATGAAACTGTCCCTTTTTCCAACCCTTGCCCAGACGGCTGGAACATGTTCATACCTCTTTATTCATACTCATCCTTCAAATCTCAAAACAGACATCACTTCCTCAAAGATTCCCCCTAAGTCCCAGCAACCAACTCTTGGTGTTTCCAAGAGCCCCTGGTATTTACCATTCTCACAGGACTTACCAACATTAATTTACAAATTGCCTGTTAGCTTGTACGTCTTCCCCACTAGACAGGAAGGCAGGAACTGTGCCTTGGTCTCCATATAGAATGTAACCTCTGGCCTTTCAATAAATTATGTTTGGAAACATCACAGAAGAGCTACAAAACTCTGCTCTGGGAAATCTGTACCTTCAGCAGGAGACATCTAACTTACTTTCATATTTTCTTGTGGTTTCAGGGATTCCCTTGACTCTTTCCCTTCCTTTAAAACCTTTAGCTTTACTTGGAATGATAAAAGAAGGTGGTTCTCCTCATTTGCATAGGACAACATTTTACATGATCAAGGCACTTTTTTTCATCTTCCTATACTTATTTGACTACTTTAAAAACCATAGAAGCAGTATCCGGTCTGAGTGCCAAGATGGAACAACATCTAAGATGCTTGCCACAAAACTCCATGGTGATCTACACTGGAAGTACTCATGAATAATATCTCTTTCTATTTTCCAAAACTTTTTATCAAACTTAGTCCAGCTTGATTTTTCTTTTCTTTTCTTTCTTTTTTTTTTTTAATTGAGAAAATGCTGCTGAGCCAATCAGCCTGGTAGTAGTTCTGGTGAAATTTGCTCAATTAGAGTTCAAAAGACATGGCTCTAGATGGGTTTCTTTAAACTTCACAGACCTAGACTTGGACCCAAAACCTGGCATGAGTGGAAGAAAGCCTGGAACAAAAGTCACCTTTCTTCAGCTAATTGCTCATCACTACTAACCACAGAAATCATCACTTACGCTCCTAAAGGGAGAGGATCGTTTAATAAATCATACAATTTTATGCTCTTGTTGAGTGAAATGCATTTTGCACAGTGAAAACTAGGGGAGGACCACACGAATGTTGACTTCTTGTTTTTCCTAAGCCGGATCATTCCAAATTTGAAACTATTCTTACGGTAAGATTTTCCTCTGGGAAGCTGATTTCACTGGGTTCGGCTTTCTTTAACGAGCCGTATATCATAGGCAAATCTCAGTCTTCCTACACAATGCATCTGACTTGGTTGAGACAAATACCAGGAGGTATATCTGCTCATGTCAACCTGGGATTAGAAAGGTCACCTCTCACAATGCTTCTACCACACTGGTACCTGCTGCCAGAACTTGGGGTACGGTACGTACATATTGCCTGAAGCAATATACCTCCCCTCTCTACCAGAAAATAACTTTCACCTCCTCATACCTAATTCTTTATAGATGCCTCTTATCACATTCTTGTCAATATTTGCAGAATATACAACTCAGCAAGTATTTATCAGGCACCTACATTACAGACACTAGAAAGAGACAATGAGTTCTGGATCTCAGGGAGCAATACCAGGGCGATGGTAATTGCTCATTGATATCTGTAGATGAGGTAGAAAACATATTTTAAGTGAGTCATGAAAACAAAGTGTTCCTGGGCTTACAACGAGTAAAAGACAAGGAACTGAGCAAAGCCCTCTTGGAAGAAAGGTCATGTAAGATTGCAATATTTTTTATTATATCTTTTCTTCCTTTTACAAAAGTGACACATGTTCATTAGGTGTAGTAATTAAAAGAAAGAAGAAGGTAAAAATCTCTTACAATTCTACTATCCAGAAATAATCAAACATTTTAATATATATCTTTCCAGGTATTTCTGTGTGTATTTATATTTACATATTGGAGATCACCGTATATATTATTCTAAACACATTTGTAATTTAAAAGCAGATCAAGAGCATTTTCCAATGCCAGTAAACATTCTCTTAGATACTTTCCATGGTAGCATATTCCAATGTATGACTCTAGCATAATTTATTTGACCTTAGTTTCTACCTTTGGACACCTACTAAAAAATTCCGTGATATTTTGCTACTACAAATTATTTCAAATAAAATAGTGATACATGTCCTTATTTTTTCCTTAGGATAAAACCCCTAGAAATATGTATAATATTCCACATATTCATAGGGCTTCAGATACAGAACGGTCAAAGTCTCACTAGCCCATACAGCACATCTGAATTAGGAAAAGGGGTCCCCTGTAAGCCGACACAGCTCTCTGGGCAAACAGCTTGAAAAGCACATGATGAGAAATTTTTTCAAGGTACCCATTATGGACATATAGTTTGGTGAATCCAGAGCAAACTAGATAAGGGTCTCATTTGACCTATAGATCTTAAACAGATAGGATCTCAGTCAATCATACAAGACAGACCCTAGAAAGGCTGGATCAGTATAGATTGCTAATTCTATACATATAGTTGGCAATTTATATCTTATATTTGTTTTCTGTGGTTACCTGCAGTCTGTTTTGCCACTATTTTTAAAATGAGAAGGAATGAACTGATTTTTGCTTATTGCTTTTGAAGAGCTCACTATATAAACTTTTCCCCCCAAAAGGTATTTTAATTATTTTAAGAGATATTCATAAGACAAAAGAGAAGTTTTATATAAAAAGGCTAGTGACAAGAATAGTTCCAATTAGGGAGAACATCAGATGTAAAAACACATCAGGAAGAAAGCACAGGGTGTGTTTGGAAAACGTCAAGTCTTGAGTTGAAGCATAGACTGTGCATAGAGGAAAAGTAATAAAAATCTGGTTGTAAAACACTGGCATTAAATTGGATAGAGTCTTAATTCACTTGAAAAAGGGAGCCATTTTGTTTTGGAGTAAAAAAGTGATGTGAAATGATCAGAACTATAAAATGTAATCAGGCCACAGGCCATGGGATGGACCAGAATGGTGGGGAAGCCAGCCGGGAAGTAATCGAAATTCCCTAGGTGAGTTATCACAAAGCCTGAATGGGCGGGGGTCACTTAGGATAAAAATCAGGGAAGAATACGACAAACAATTTGAATTGAAGGACAGAGATCAATGAAAGAGAAGCACCATTTCATGTCTAAATGACCAAAATTATAATATCCTTAATAGAAACAGGGGAGAAGTGGGGGGGTGAGGTGGGATGAGAATCCTGGTTGTAGATATGTTGAGAACAATTAGATAAACCCACCAGGAGTGCAAGAAAGAGAACTATAAACCTCATCAGTGCTTAGCTGGTCATCTGGATGAAATTGCAGGCCTCTTAAAACTAAGGCTCTGGCATCTTTACTTTCCTTCCCTCAGTACTTAGGAAAAACTCTGCTTCCATGGATAGTTAAGCAGGAGTCCTGACAACATTTTCCCGAGACTTTTTCCATTCATCTTGATTGCTAGATTTCTCAACATCTTACAACAGTACCTCTTTCTTCTCAAAGCTAGGACTCCTTGTTCTCAATTTAATGAGGAGGAATAAAATACAGAAAATTATGCTCAGGTAGATTCTCACAGAAAATGTTATTTCTAATTGCAAATGTAATTTAAGCAAAGAGGAGGGATTTCAAATTCCACATCTGCAACTTGTTCCCAGATGAACATTATTGAGAATGTCTTGGGCATTACTGAATATTAATTTCCTAAATTTTGGTTTGCATCCCAGAATCTAGTTTCAAATATAACCACTTACTAAATGGCTAGACTTCACAAAGGCCCTGGCAACCTGGTCAGAAGGCACCGGGATACTGGGGGTTTCTCCGAAGCTGTGTCACACAACGGAGTGAGAGTCAGTAGACCTGTACCACCAAATAGAGCTTCTCTTCACAATTGGCTTCAGTGTTTCCATCTATAAACCAAGGAGGCTGGCTAGCTCTCAGATTCTATGTTGGACTTGAAATCCATCCGTCCGTCCGTCCATCCATCCACCCATCCATCCATCCATCATCAGATTGCTGAATGTCAACAATGTGTAAGAGTTGAAGCCCCATTTGTGTAGTTTTCCACATAATGTCATTTCTTACCTGATCATAGTAACGCAGGTAGTATTTCACGACATAGTCCACCAGATTAATCCCATTATCCTAGGTTTAAAAGAGAAGCTTAAATGAAAATCATTCACATGAGACTCTGCTGTATTATACAGCTGAGAGCCAAAAATCTCAGTTTATGACCTGAACACTTTTAGTTTGTGATACCTGGTCCTAATTCTGAGACCGGCAAGATTTCTCTCTCTCCTCCTTGTCCCATCCATTTTTTATGGCATCCATGCAAAGAAATAACACTACACTGCTCTTTGTGGGGTAAAAATCCCCCAAATAATCCGTAAGACCTCTGAGGTCATGGCTAAAACAAACAAACAAAATAAATAAATAAAACACAGTCTCTATATTTTCTGGCATAAAGCCAAGTCAGGAGGGGGGCAAGGGAGTGCTAAAGGGAACCAGGGACTAGAACAGAAAACCATCCCTCCCTTCCCACCTTTCAAAAGATGTGTGTTCTTAATGGTGTGAAAAACAATCAGGACAGCTTAAAAGGAATGCCATGCCACTTTATGACCCTGGGAGGCCAGGCCCTCCCACAAGGCAGCCTTTGAGTCTTGTTCACATGGATCTAATTCTAATTTGCCTCTGTGTTTCCACTCCCACTGCCCCCCCATAGGATGCCTAGGTATGGCTGGTTGTTTCTAAAGAGGTGGCTCTGCAGGGGTGTGGAGCCAAATGATAATCAGGCTCAGAGAGTTTGACAGTAACATCCAGCCTGATTGTTGTGGGCAAAAGAGTAAGTCAAATGCTCACCTCAGCATTGGTCCATTCACAGGAATGAATAAATTACAAGTGGCCAACAACAAATTCAAGCCTTGTGCTATGGCTAATATCATATGCTGTTTTATTCTCTCGCTGAAATTCAACATCTAATTGCATTTTAAAGCAAACAAATATGTAGTGGGAATTTTGCCATCAAAATAAGATCAAACATTAAAAAAAAAGCTATTTTATTCCAAAGTCAAAAGAAAGCAAAGGAAAAGTATATTGTTATGGGGAGGACGGAGATAAATGGAACAATCAGAAATAGGTTTTCTTTTTTTAAAATTAAAGGGATAGAGGGAAAATAATGGCAGATCATAGACATTTATTACAAAACAAATAAATACCCGACTTTTGACATCCTTGAGTTTGGGCAGAATTTCTAAGCTGTATCCATCTGCTTGTCCCCGAGTCCTATTTCCTCCATTCATATAATTTCCAAAAGCCAGAATAAGAGCTAAAATATCCTTCACACTCTTCATGTGCAGCAAGCCCTGTGATGACAAACACCAATGATTATGCAGCTGAACTCCAAATATAACTATGTCCATTCAACAACAAATATTTATTGAGTACCCAATAGGCTGTTTGGTGGCATGTTACCAACAGAATTAACAGTTAGCAAGATGGAAAATAAACTTTAAGCCTTAAGTGTCTTTTAAAAAATACATCAAGAGTCATCATTTCCTATCCTTTCAATGAATTATACTATGTGTGGGTTAAATATTAGTATTTGTATTTCCATTTGAGCCAGTTTTATTTTGTAAATACTTGAAAGTATTTATAAATTCAGGAAAGAGAGTTGTTATAGTTAGGCTTCACATTCGATGACTTGCAAGTAGAAAGGGGTTTAATATCATTTGAGGATCTGTTTTTAGACTATTATCTATGTAAATAGTACAGTTAAGTGTAGGGTAGTTATAATAACATGTCAATTCTTCCTTATTTGTGGTTCTAACCCTCAGAGGTGAACTACAATCAGGTAGTTCAAGGCCAGAGGCTACCTGTATTAAGTGTTTGCTGATATGTCTATTCACTGTTATCATTTCAAGCTGCTTAGAGTTTTCTTCGCTCCCCATTTCATTTGTTCTCTCTTCTCTCTCTCTCTCTCTCTCCCTCCCTCCCTCCCTTCTTACTTCCCTCCCTCCCTCTCTCCTTCTCCCTTTCCTTCTCTCTCTCTCGCTCTCTCTCTCTCTTTGCTTCAAGTACAAACTCCAAATAGATACTTTTCCCCTTTCTCTATAGTCTTAGTTGGCTTTCTTTTATTTTAGGAAAAGAAATCCAAATGCAGCTCTAGGCTGACTTCTGCTCCTGACTCTCTGGGCACTATTAAAGGGTACATATTATACTTTGGTATATATGCCTCCCTTATTGAAATCTTTTATATTTTAGAAAGAAAAAAATAATGCCTTCAGATAAGTAACTAAGTATTAAACTAAAAGCTACAGTATTTGTGGAGAGTGTTCTTAAGGACATGGGTCACTGGGAGAAAAAGCCAAATGCTAGAATTTAACTTTATAATGAATACCAATATGGTAAAGCCAACAAAAACTTATTTGCTCATCACTCATTATCATAATAATTTGTTTCCTTTAACAAATCTCTAGAATATTTTTATTTCACTATGTAGCACATTTCAGATGGTCAAATTCATGGGTCTGAGGCAAAACCTCTTTCGTAATCCAGACAGTGAGTAAAAAATAAACTATACTATTTGGGTTGGTGTTAAATGGCCAGTATGTACATTGGAAGGTGTTTGGAATATTTGAGAAGAAATCTGTAAGAATGACATTTTTTCCACTCTCTCCTTTTCTCTCTCCCTCTGCCTCGCACTTCATCTGCATGCACACGCATACTCACACTTGGGCAGGATAATAGTCACAGCTATACTTAGAAAAACACACAATCTTAAACCCAAAAAGTTTTGGCAAAGGGACTCTAGCTGATCTCTCCCACTCCCAGCTTCCTCCTTTACCCCTAATAAGGACAAAGTTGTCTTTTTAAATTAGACAGCAACATACCTTAGAAGCTCGTGTGATGATCTCTACCTTTCGATGCAAGGAGGTGATGCCTTCGGAAAAGACAGATCTGAAGATGATACACTGGGCACGCTCAGCAAAATTAGGGATCTGGGCTAATTCACGTAAAAATCTGTAAAAATTAAGAAGGAATTATCTAGCTTCATATAAAATCACAAGGAAAGTAAAAAGACAGCTGGAAAAGATCCATCATGAGAGCATTCCTTATTTGACAATTAATTTAACAAACTTAAAAGGTACCAGGCTAACTTAAGCAACTCTAAGGCGATGTGTTCTACTGTGGATAACAAAGCCACTTTTCAAAAAATGGGTTTTTATGGTAGTAAATAAATGCATAGGGGCCAGTCAGCATAGCTCAGTGGTTGAACGTCGACCTATGAACAAGGAGGTCACGGTTCGATTCCCAGTCAGGGCACATGCCTGGGTTGTGGGCTCGATCCCCAGTGTGGGGTGTGTAGGAGGCAGCCGATCAATGATTCTTTCTCATCATTGATGTTTCTATCGCTCTTTCTCTTACTCTCTGAAATCAATAAAATACATAGTTAAAAAATAAATGCCTGGTATATAAATTACTTTAGGAACAGAAAATTAATGCAATTATAATGAATCACAACAAGTTATCTATCTCCTGCTACCCAATTAAGAGACTAAACACAAATGAGAAGCGTTAGCCTTTAGGGCATGAGAAAATATATACAATATACTTGCTGTATAATGCAGCATTCTCTAAGGATATATTTATACAGCTGAGTAAAGTGAGGACTGGAGACAAGTGGTACAAAATCTCTTACTGAAGTGAGATTTTTGCTTAATGAATTAGATAATAGTCGATAACGTCCCTATTCTGCAGATATTTGTTTACTCTTCCACATCAACTTACCTATATAAACAGAGCTCAGAGCTCAGTGCTTGGAACAAAGCAGCACTCATTAAGTGGACACAATCTAAAACTGCTTAAAAACTGTGGCAAGGCAGATCTTAAAGCTAAAGGCAAGTACTAACCTACACACAAAAGCTCACTGTCTGAGCAGTTGGGCACCGGTGCCCTTTGCAAAATTAAGTTGGAAGAACTACATACTCTCCTGGCCAGTCACCAGAGGAAGGGGCATAAAACTAAACGGTTGGAAAGAGTTGGATGTGAACTCAGAAAAGGAGAGAATCCACTAACAGCAATTACATTCATTTTGGAGTCGAAATGATTATTACCTGATATTTCTGAAAGCCTCGGTCAACTCATAACATCATTACTTTGACATTTTGCAATCTCTGCCCAAGAATGCTTGCGAAGCTGGGGCCTCCTTCTTTCCATGCCTGAAGTAATTCCCTTAGCTAATACTCGGTGCTTCTTTTACTATTTTTTTTAGGGAGCTCTGGGTGTTAATAAGATTCTAATTATCAGCTGTTTTTCTTATTTATCCCACAACCAGGTAATATCTTCTTTAAAATTTTTTTTTCTTGATTGGATTTCCTATATTTAATCTTCTAAGCCAACTTTTCTCATTGTGTTTTTTTTTTTTTTATTGATTTTTAGAGAGAGAGGAAGGAAGAGAGGCAGAGAGACAAAAACCTCAATGCCAGAGCGAGACATCTATTGGCTGCCCCCTGCATGCCTTCCACTAGCGTTTTAAGCCACAACCTGGGCATGTGCTCCGAACGGGAATTGAACCAGGGACCCCTTAGTGCACAGGACAACACCCAACCGAGCCGCACCAGCCAGGGCTCCTCTTCTTTTTTGTTTTTAAATGACACAGAGATGAAGTAAAGAATACCCATAAAGAAGCCACACCTGTGTTTTAAATTTCTGTAATGGATTATTATGAAAATCATGTAATGGGATATAAAACCCATACGATTTCTGATTAGGACAAGATGAAGAAATTACATGTTTATGTAAATTGTTTCTTCATAAAATTAGTATTAAACCACTGATTTATTTATAACTGGAATAAGGGGTACCACCAGTTTTCACAAATATGAGTAGTAAAAAGCTTGAGGGACAGGGGCATTTGGTACTGTGGTGACTCAGGGAATTTAGTTACTCAGATGCTGCTGAGAGCTACCGCAAGGGAAGTGCCCTGCATTCCTTCCTCTCCCAAATGTGACCGTGAGTCTCTATTCCCAAGCAGGACCTGATCCCCAGCGTGTGCACACTTCCTAGAGTAAATGAACACAGAGTGAAGCATTTGCAGAGACTGTGTAAGAGAATATACTGCTCAACACCTCAACTCAGCAAGAAGGACACAGATGAAAAGTGCATGTTGCTTGAACAATTACTTATAGCTAGTTTCAGAACAGGAGGTTCGGGGCCAATATGAGGAGACAAGCCCATAAGTTCACCAACTTATGTTGCACGTAAGTGCTCCCAGTGATGGGGCTATAACAGGAGCTACGGAAGTCACACGCAGGGCACAAAGACAGAGCCATGAGGGACCGGGTCAGCCACGGTTCCCTGGAGCTCTCTCTGGTGCTGTGCAGAGCCTAGATGGCTTGCATGATATTTGTCGGGGAGGTGAGGAGGAGTCAGATGCTAAAATGGGGCATGGTGTTCTAAAGAGTTTAAACTTTGTCTAAATGAATGTAGGGTTTTAAACAGAGGAGTGACCCTTTCAGCTTTTTGTTTTAGAAAATCACCATGGCCCTGGGTTGGCTGACTGATTGGCGGTGACAGCAGATCTGAGGCTGGAAGACCTATACAACCGCAGTTGCAATATTCTAAGAGGGAAGGCAGGAGGGCCTGAAGTGTGAATGGAGAGGGAAAATGGATGAGAAAGCTACAGGGCAGCAAGAGCCAGAGTAACTGACCAATCCCAAAGGATTCTGAGTAGTGTCCACAATGACTTGTAAGTTTTTGACTTGGATACCTGGTGGAATGTGAAGATGTGATATAATGGGGAAGCGAATTTGGGGGTGGGGGGAGATGATTTTATGTCACATTCTGTCCAAAAATAGCCATGCAAAGCTGTCAGAAATCATACCATACTCCCTTCCCATTTATCTGGGAAAATATCAGAAGGATAAGTAACCTCAATGACTATAAAGCAAGTGTCTGATAAATAACTTATCCCTCAATTGTGTTTCATTCGCTACCCATAAGAACTGAGTTTCGTAGTTTGGGTCTTGGTACTTAAGAATATTTACAGACTGATTTCCTTTGGACTTGTCTAACTTTATACCCTAGTGCCAGTAATTAGAACTACATACCCTCCAAAGAAGCCTTTCTTTCCCCAGGTTAGGTTCATTTTCCCAGGAAGAGCTACACTTTCAGCCTGTATATAGGAGAGGAGTTCTACACCTCACATTGTGTTGGTTACTCATCCACAGTAGCAACTCAGCTGACAGGTGGAATGACGTAATGTGCCCATTGGTTTTAAGGACCTAACACTGGGTTTATCATCCCCCAAACCCCCGAATGGTATTATCTCAGGTGTGTGTGCGCACACGGGGCTGTGTACACAACATCATTTCATGTTGTATCCTGTGTTCTTCCATAGAGGACTCCACTCTCAGAGCCTTGTTTCAGAATCCATGTATCTTCCCAAGGCAGCTGTGGGCCCTAGTGGAGCATCCCGATAGGCTGTATATGGTGTCCTCACTCGGCCACAGAAAGCTTGCATCAGGCCCAATCAAACCCAAATCTCACCTCACCTCACCTCACCTCACCTCACCTCACCTCACCTCACCTCACCTCACCTCACCACCTCAAGGTAGAGTGTAAAGAGTCAAGGGCCATCTCTGAAGGGAGCAGCTTTCAACCTGGTCCCAGGCGGATGACACCTTTATGGGAAATGGCTTTCTAAACCTGGCACTGGGGTGCAAGAAAGCTGATGAGGTGAGTAATGAGGCCAGTCTCTCCATGCTATGATTTATAGGACTGGGCACCACACGGTTCTTAGGAAATTGTAAAGCCAAGACTTCATATTTTCCAGTATGTACAACATGCGTACAGTCAACAAACTTGGAGCTAATGGCAAAGGAGTTGCCAGAAAATCAAACTCTGGCATAGATCAAACAAACGCTGTACTGTGCAGGAGATCGAAAGCAAAGGTGGCATTCACTCAGGCCTGAACTCCCCATCTCTGTGCCTTTCCCTCCAGCAACTGAATCCAGGCACATCACCTTACCAGGACAACGCACAGGCCTCTTTGCTATCAGTCACAACTTAGCATGTCCAGGAAGCTGTTACAGTGACCATTTACAAACTTTAAAAATGGGCTTCAATCCAGATCATTGGGAGAGAAAGCAGGAATAATGAGTTATATGTAGCCTTGGCTGGTGTGGCTCAGTTGGTTAGGCATCATTCCAGGAATTGAGGGATCACTGGTTCAATTCCAGGTCAGGACACATGCCTGGGATCCCCACTGGGGTGTGTGCAGGAAGTAGCTGATTGATGTGTCTCTCTCCTCCTCTCCCTTCTTCTCTCTCTAAAAATCAATTTAAACATCTCAAAAAAAAGTTATATGTTAATTACCTGCCACCATTGTTGTGTCCTGGCAATTAACCTTGAAAAATAATGCTAGAAAGGCATTAACACAAAAGGAAAAGGGGAATAATCCCAGTAACAAAAACCAACTGTTCATTTTACTGGGTCGGCCATGCCCATAGCTTAGAGCAGGTGTTGAAAATTGCAGCCCAGAGCCAAATTCAGCCCACCACTTGTTTTGTATGGCCCATCAACTAAGAATGGCTTTAACAATTTTAAATGGTTGAAAAACATCAGTAGAATGGTAACATTTCATGACATGTAAAATATGTCAAGTTCAAATTTCAGTGTCTGTAAATACAATTTTATTGGGACATAGTCACACCCGTTTGTTTATGCTTTTGCACTACAACAGCAGGCTTGAATAGTTCCAACAGATTGTTTGGCCCACAAAGCCTAAAATAATTACTATCTGGCTCCCTACAGGAAAAGTCTGACAACTCTAGGCTTAGAGTATCATTACTCAAGGTGGTATAGTTGGCCCTAACCAAATGCTTGTCCTTGTTAGGGACTAAATATTTGTGCCCCCAGTGATGAGAGGTAATTAGGTCACGAGGGTAGAATCCTCATGAGTGCAATTAATGCCCAGAGACACAAGAGCTTGCTTCCTCTCTTTGCTTTCTATTATGTAAGGCAGCGGTTCTGAACCTGTGGGTCGCGACCCCTTTGGGGGTCAAACGACCCTTTCACAGGGGTCACCTAAGACCATTGGAAAACACATATATAATTACATATTGTTTTTGTGATTAATCACTATGCTTTAATTATGTTCAATTTGTAACAATGAAAATACATCCTGCATATCAGATATTTACATTACGATTCATAACAGTAGCACAATTACAGTTATGAAGTAGCAACGAAAATAATTTTATGGTTGGGGGTCACCACAACATGAGGAACTGTATTAAAGGGTCAAGGCATTAGGAAGGTTGAGAACCACTGATGTAAGGATACAAAGAGAAGTCAGCAGTCCTATTCTGGCATCCTGATCTTAGACTTCCAGCCTCTAGAATTGTGAGAAATAAATTCCTGTTGTTTATCAGTCAACCAGTTTAGGGTATTTTGTAATAGCAGCCCAAGCTGACTAAGACAGTCTTCAAATACTCCCCATGGCCTTGTCAGTGTCCAAATATTCCATTATTAGTCACTTTTCAGTGATTAGCTTGTTAGTGGGGATTAGTTTATTGTATTAGGAAATAAGACTTGGGAGTGGACCACAGAATCCCTCAGCAGTGGGGGTTGATAAAGGGCAGTGGAACTCTATTTGCATTAATTCACAATATTACTAGGTTTTATGAACTAATTGCGGGGGGAGGTGGGTGGAGTCCTGACCTATGCTGCATGTGAGAACAATTCACCCAAGGTTCCCAAAATTATCATGAAGGTTGGTCAATAACTGAATAGCCCTAGAAATCTCCTATTCAGACCAGGCATCCAAGGGGCGAGGTGCATTCTAGAGCAGCGGTCGCCAACCGGTGGTCCGCGGGCCACTGGTGGTCTGTGAGGTCTGAAAGGTTGGTGACCGTTGTTCTAAAGGACCCATGGGCAAGGCAGGAAGGTTTCTGTACAAGCCACTGAACCTCAGATGCCTCCAGGGCTGACTTGTTAGCCAAAACTTGATCACTCTTCTCTTTGTTTCCCACCCTTGCCTCCTCTAGGCTGAGAGGGGTGGCCTGAATTGAATATGAAGCACTCAAAACAGCAACAGGCAAAGGAGCCCTGTGGTTGCTCTGGACTCACTGCACATGTGCACAGAGTTTGGACTTTGAGTCCTGGGTGGGGCCTGGGGACTGCAGAGCCGCAGAAGCTTCTCTATGGTTTGCAGATCTAAGAGCCCAGCCAAGGACAAAAGTCACTCAGTTACACATTGGAGTTCTGGGTTTTCAAAGGATGTGACAGACACCTCAAACTATAGAGCAAACAACTCTAGATAGTGAATGGAGAGAAAAGCACACTCCAAGAGAAGATGAAAAAATCACATCTAAACTGGGCAGAGCAGGTGGAGAAATCCGGGGAAAAACTGACACACTCAGGCTACATTTACTGGATACGCCACTTAGGAAAATCAAATGCTGTGCTGTGCTCTGACATATCTTCTCAACTGCATCAGCAAATCCTTAAACAGAGCAATGACTTCTTCCTTCCTCAGTTACCCTTTGGGCCAGAATGTTTAGTCTAGGAGGAATTAATAAGTTGCTAGAACAAGAAAGGGGAGTCATGAGGGTGGGGAGAGGGGTTGAGAAATAGTCTATCCAGCAGCACAAATCTCCCAGGTGCTTTTCCCAGCAGGCATGTCATTCTGCTACATGCAATAGGTCAGAGGCATGGTAGAGCTGAGACTTAACTCACTGCACCATTTAGAGGTGATTGTTCAAAGCTGGGAGGCAGGGAGAGAGGGGCTGCACTGGGGCCCAACAGAAAAGTGTTCAAGCTTTCTTACTGCTCAGGTTTATCCAGCAGCTTCAATTCTTCTTCTTTGGATGTCTCATAATACTTTCTTATTTTAACCAATTCATCCTCTTGGGCTCTCTGTGTTAAAAAAGAAACAAAACAAAATAATGAGCACTGAGGATCAAGCAATAATTCATCTCGTGGCACATATAAACTAATTACTAAAATTCTACTGCACATCAAGAAAATATATATTTTTGCCAATCTGACAAAAAGCAATAGGTATAATTTTGATTCACTCAAACCGAGGCTATTGTTGTGTTGGCTGTTGTCATTTTTTTTTTTACTTGACAATCTAAGGAAAGAGGTCAGTGCCACTGACTAAATAGTCCGGTATTGCATGTTTTAAAAATTCTTGAGGTACGCCAGTGTGCCATAGTACACTGGTTGAAAATCGCTGGTCTAAAGCAATGTGTCTCAAAGTGTGGTCTCTGGACCAGCAGCATCAGTACCACCTGTCACTAGTTAGAAATGCAAAATTTTGGCCCTACCCTAGACTGAAGAAACTCCAGGGGTGGGACCCAGCAAGCCTCCCAAGTGATTCTGGTGCATGCAAATGTTTGAGAATCCCTGGCTAATGCAAAGGTCATAATAAGTGACATCAGCTGTTTACAGAAGCCAGGACACTGGGCTGCTGCCTTTGAATCCTCTCTCTGTTTGCCCATAAGCAGATAAGGGTCAAGTTGTCCTTTGCATTTGGTTCCTGACTCTCAATAGCCCTCCTAACTTATGTAGGCTCCTGACTTTTTTTTCTAGTCACCATCTTCTCTTTTTCTAAATTTTGTAAGCATTCCTTATCTACAGTGCTTATTTTGGCATTTAGTCGCATACTTTCTCAATGTATCCAACTATTTCAGTTGGATACATCTTACCTCTATTGTGAGCTAACAAGTACTGACCACGTACACAGTCCTGAGCCCAGGGTAATAACAAAAAGCATTAGAAAGGCACTTTGCCTTCTGAAAAGTCCTTTAACACAATCACTTACCCTCATTATATAGATGATTCCACTGAAGCCACAAAATACCTGGTACAGGGCCTGACTCGCAATCTCTCTCTCATAATAGCATACTGCCCTCCAGGTGCTCAACAAATGCAATGTCAGCTCCCAATGGCCTTGTATCTGTGTACCTTCTTGTCTTTTAATGAGAGCCTTACTGATGGAAACATGAGAAGTTCCCACCCAGTAGTACTAGACAACTCCTGATACATGTAAAGGGTGTAAAAACATGTAGGGAACTGTCCAGAGAACCTGTAACTGTGCTCGTTATTTCCACATACAACCCAAATTTAAAGACCACATATGTGTACAGTGCTGTTTGTTTTCAAAATACATTGCTATTGCTACATATATTGAATTATCTTTTAATGCTCATAAAGAATCAGGTAGAGCACATTCGAATTCTTGTTGCACTGATAAGCAGACAGGCTTATGGAATTTAAATGGCCCAAAGTTGCTCAGCAGTCAATGATAGAGCTAAACCCGTCTGATTCTAAATCCAGAACACACACTCATCATCCTATGCTATACCCCACATTCAACACCATCAGCTCATTTGGACTAAGAGTAATCCTCCTAGCTGGCATTAGCATTTCCATTCCTCATAGGAAGACACTGGTGTAAACCAACATTGAGTCAGTAGCTTACCTTCGTTAACTCTGATAGCAGGCTACAGGGCTGAGTTCCGTGGCACAAAGTGGTCTCCACCTTGAACCACCCTCCCTTGCTGGTGTGCAATGTGATCTACTAACTCAGATACCACAGTGGGGGTGAGGAACCTTGTGCTTTTCTCATGTCTGCTCTTATTTGAGCTTGCATGTCTGTGCCTTAACCTCATCCATGTTATATCAAAATGCTTACCACCAAAGAACATGAATGAATGGCTCAGCAATTTTTCAGGAAGGAGTCACTTATAACCATTTTTTTTAGACCTTAACATATTTATTTATTTATTTATTTATTTATGTATGTATGTATGTATGTATGTATGTATTTATTTATTTATTTATTTATTTGTAAGGACATGGAAATATGGAAACTCTTGTTCGGAATGGCTTTGATACTCACATTTTCATATAAGGCCGCCAGGGTCTCCAGATCAACCACAGAGTCATCCACGTTGAAAATGGCTGCCAAGCACCCGAAAAGGGAGAAAAAAGAGTAACAGCTTTGAGTAGACTCCTCCATACTAACGTTTATTCCGTGCCTAGCTCCCAAGCAATACAATCTTGCCCTTTCTCGTACAAGGTGTGTCTTTCAGCATGTCTTGTCCCTTTCGCTTTGCACTAGGGCCCCGAGGAAAGAAACCAAAATGGTTGGCTGCTGTTGCTGGACTGAGCCCTGGCCCCAACCAGTTCAATGTCTTGAGCTTGGGGTCCTTTCTGCAGTTTAATTTAGGCTCCATGGGAGAAGTGTATGTGATTTAAAACTAAATCAGTTTGTAGGTTTAAAGCACAATTTTAAATCTTTCTTCCCGGCTGGTAATTGAAGAGATTTAGTACCTAATGCACCAGAACTGACTCTTGCCCATTACCAGGAAGAAAGAGAGAAAAAGGACAATGTTGGCAAATTAAATGAATTCAGCCATGTGATTTCAGGCACCTTTCCATGGTCACTGCAAACATCTTGTTTGGATTAAAAAGACAAGAAAAAGCAATAATTGCATCAATGGCAAATTAAGATTATGGAAACCTCCCAAGAGTTGGTCTTAAGGCAAATTTTCATTCCTATGGTTTTATTAAGATTTTGCTTGCTATTCTGTATCTTAAATAAGTCACTTAGCTATTAACTGATATGCTTATGATTTCATCTAGAGAGATTCCTTTCCATATATACCAGGATACAAACATTGAATTTAAAGCTTTAATGCATTTGGCAATCAAAGTGTTTGAAATAGGCTGCTCCACATCTTTAAATAATTATTCAAAACTAATAAGGTTTGTTTCCTCAACCCCACCTCCCTTCTCTGACTTTACATTGTGAAATTAACCAGCACGCTAGTAAATTTTCTCTGTGGCAGGCTAATTAATTTTATTAAACCAACCAGTGATATTTAGAATGCCTTAAAATCTGCTCGTCAACCATTATTCTATTCATTGGCATTACACCATGGTTTTCAGAGAAGGTAGGGATCAAGGTAAAGGGCAGGTTGCTTTCAAATTGCTTTGCTTCTTCTGTAGTTTAGAATCATATGAATCCCTTTATATAATTTTAACAAAGTTAATTAACTCAGCTAAGATCATGTAACTTCACAGGACATCGAGAAATGTACTTAAAATTCCTTCACAGGCCACCTTTCTCTAAGTTAGTAGTTAATCAGCAAGCTATTCCTAGATACATGGGCTAGTGAGAAAGGAAGAGGTTAGCATGCTAGAGACAAAGTCAGTCATCTCAGATTCTACCTCTAACAAGACAAAGAAAAATTACCCTTCTGAAAAGGCCAATCTGAAACCACAAAGGAAAATGTAGTTTGAGAAAGAATTTACCCTCCCAGCACTGTTCTTTGTACATGGAGATAATATGAATTCACTAATTTATTAGACAGACTAGTTACTTTAAATATGGTGCTTTAAAAAACAGAAACTAGCCCAGAACAATGTTTTGTTTTTAAATGTCAATTCCAACATTCTCCTACAAAAATCAGCCAACAGGAATGCAATGAGAAAAGGTGAAATTCTAAGTAATTCATCAGAAATGTTCACTTCTAATCATAAATCCTAGCTACTAAATATGAACTAGTAGTTATAATTGAGAAACATTAACTAATGAGAAAGAGAATATATGCGGGTTTCTTTCCTTGGAGAGTTAATATTTGGTTTTAAAAGTTAATCAGGCCCTAGCCAGTTTGGCTCAGTGATTAGAACATCGCTCATGGACTGAGAGGTCATGGGTTCAATTCTGGTCAAGGGCATGTACCTTGGTTGCAGGCTCAATCCCCAGTATGGGGTGTGCAGGAGGCAGCTGATCAATGATTCTCATCATTGATGTTTCTATCTCTCTCTCTCTTCTCCCTTCCTCTCTGAAATCAATAAAAATGTTTTTTTAAAAAGTGAATAGCATGGGTCCCAGATACACAATTGGAGGGTTTTATGATCAGCCAGTGCCTCTCCAGTGTGCCTGGTGGCAGAAAGAACACATCTAGCAAGCATGGGGCAGAAGCACAATCATGGGCTCTGGAGACATTTGGTTGCTCATTCATCCATCCTTTGAGTAAACATTTGTTGAATGTGTACTAAGTTCTAGAAACTGTTCTAAAATGCTGTGATTATGTATATCCAAAGTGTGTAAGATATTCAAAACATTGACATCTTGACATTTGTACTCTAGCTTAGTGGAAAGAAAAAAAACAAGTAAATCGTTTCAGATAGTGATACACTATGAAGAAAGTAAAGTAGAGAAATGAGTGACAATAGATAGAATGATCGATGAAGGCTTCTTTGATGAGGTCAAATTTTATCTACACACTGAAGGGGTCAGTTCTTCGAATGTCTGGGAGAAGAGCATTCCAGGGAGAGGTAACTGCAAAAGGAAATTTCTTTTTCTGGTGAAGAAAGAAGCATAAGGTACAGAAAAAGACCGAGATGATTATCATGGAAAGATCAAGACATCCTCACTATGTGATCCTGGCAGGTTAAACTGTCAACCTCAAACATATAAAACATATTCCCATAAAACATAATACCTATAAACAAGTAATACCACTTACTGAAAATATTAAGGGAGGTAATGTGTATGCTTGGCATTGCACATAGAGCATATAAACTCAAAATGGTATCTATGAACTATGACTATTATGATTTTAAACATACACATTGTTCATGTGTTTTAATGTTTGTTAATGCCTTATTTGCTCTAACATCTGGAAAGAATTAGAGAAAGAAGACTACAACTACTGAGTAGTTTGCTATAAACAAACTTTCCAGAATTCTTGAGTGTTTAAGGCAGGAGGTTCAACTTTAAAAAGCATTATTAATAGAAAAGGTATATGCACAGATAACTACAAAAAATAATGTATCCAATGTCTGAAGGTTAATACAAGATGCCTTTGGGTCCATTCAGAATGTTAACCTAATTTTATCTCTAATTTCCATCTTTCTCACTAATATACCCTTCATCATACCACCGAAGCTATTTTTTGAAAACACGGATCTCAAAATTTTACTTTGATGTTTAAAATACCTTAGATGTCTTTCCTTTAAATATTTGGTGAAATCCAAGCTTTTTGGACTGATTTTTAAGGCCACCCCCTCCTGCCCCCAAGCTACACTTCCAGTCTCATCTCCTACCACTTCTGTTTCTCCCATGTACACTGTGCTCCAGCCAGATGGGACAGCTCCCCATTTCTGAACATGCCAGTTTCTGCCTTTCCCACCATCATCCTCTGAGGCCCAGGTGAAAGGTTTTCTGCCCTGGAAGGATCCCCTTCACCTTGGGATCCTGAAGTCCTCACTCTTTGCCTCTTCCACGGTATTGTACTCTATTTTAAGAACCTGTATTATGGTATGTTGTATAACAGTTCCCTCTCCCATTGAATGGTAAGCCCCTGTAGTCAGGGATATTCCTATGCATCTTGATAAACCCAGCTCCCAGCAGAATACCTGGGGTGTAACAAGAATAAAGTAAACATTTGTCAATGGGAAAGATGCTACAGGAACCCCAAAGAGTGAGTCCTTCTGCTAGGTGTCAAAGTTTCTTTGTTATTAGATATTTTTAAAAATTGATTTGAGACATATTTGCCAATGATACCACCGATAAGGGTTTAATTTCCAACATTTACAGGGATCTCATGAAACTTAACAAAAGGAAGATAAACAATCCAATAAAAAAATGGGCAACGGACCTAGATAGACACTTTTCGAAAGAGGACATACAGAAGGCCGAAAGACATGTGAAAACCTGCTCAAAGTCACTAATTATACGAGAGATGCAAATCAAAACGACAATGCGTTATCATCTCACACCTGTCAGAATGGCTATCATCAACAAATCAACAAACAACAAGTGTTGGAGAGGATGTGGAGAAAAAGGAACCCTTCTGCACTGCTGGTGGGAATGCAGACTGGTGCAGCCACTGTGGAGAACAGTATGGAGCTACCTCAGAAGACTAAAAATGGAACTCCCATTTGACCCAGTGATCCCACTACTAGGAATATATCCCAAGAAACCAGAAACGCCAATCAGAAAGGATATATGCACCCCTATGTTCATAGCAGCACAATTCACCATAGCTAAGACTTGGAAACAGCCTAAGTGCCCATCAGCAGATGAGTGGATTAGAAAACTGTGGTACATATACACAATGGAATACTATGCTGCGGTAAAAAAAAAAAAGGAACTCTTGCCTTTTGCAACAGCATGGATGGAACTGGAGAGCATTATGCTAAGTGAAATAAGCCAGTCAGAGAAAGATAAATACCACATGATCTCACTCATTTGTGGATTATAGAGAACAACATAGACTGATGAAAAGGGACAGACTCAAAGATTGAGAAACAGCAATCAGGCTATCAATCCCCAGAAGGAAAGTAGGGGAGGGCGGGGGTAAGGGGAAGAGATCAACCGAAGGACTTGTATACATGTATATAAGCCATACCAATGGACATGGACAACAGGGGGATGGGAGCATGAGTGTGTGTGGGGGGGAGGTTGGGGGTTAATGGGAGGGATGAGGACACATTTGTAATACCTTAACTAATAAAAAAAAAAAAAACCAGAAAAAAAATTGATTTGAGAGAGAGAGAGTATGGGACAGGGAGAGAGAAAATCACCAATGAGAGAAGGAAACATCAAGTGGCTGCCTCCTGCATACAACCTCATGGGGATTGAGCCCTCAACCCCAGGCAAGTGCCCTGACCAGGAATTGAACCAGTAACCTCAGTGCACGGGACCATGCTCAACCAACCAAAACAGGCATCAGAGTTTCTTGATAAAGAGAGCATGGGGTCTTGAAAAAGAAAACATAGTATATTAAAAAGGGATAAGATATTTACAGATAAAATAGTATGGGAATGTACCTGAATTAAGGTTGTTTGCCCACATCCATTTGTCCCTGTTAAAAAATCAAGGTTTAGCCCTGTCCAGGTTGCTCAGTGGTTAGAGTGTCAGCCCATTCACCAAAGGATCATGGGTT